TAGGAGAAGCTTTGAATGACGTCACCTTCTGATATATGGATACGACTTTCACTATCCTGTGCTGCTTCACTGACTTCAGCTTTCTCATTGGTAAAATCGTGACAATCTAAGAGGCTGTAGAAAGTGTTGAATCCTCGGCGCAGGTCTTATTGTCCTTGGCGTTGATTGTCTGTCATCTCTTGCTCTTGCCAATCAGCGTGTTCACGCCTTGCCAGGCTTGTTGCAGATTGCTTTGCCGAAACTGTCTCTCAACGTTCTCTTTTCAGTTAGTTTACATTTACGGGCTTTCAGATTAATGTCCTTCTCTATGCATATGAGTTATATTTGAATATCTCTATCCATGCCCATTTCCTGATTCCCCAGTCTTCCCTGCAATCCCTGGATATCTGTGAGACTCCCTTGATCAGGTACCATAATGGCTTCAGGGCAACTGAATATAATGCCATAGAGTTATTTACAATGCACAACCCCAATGGAGAAAGATTTTTAGATTATACAATTGATACCCATTCACTCTTTTTCAGAGAGGGAGTGACTTCAGGGATTATGATTTAGGTATTTCTGATCACTTTCCAATTTTAAGTAAATTAAATCTGGAATGCAAAAATGACAATGAAAATGACATTACCAGCTCATAAAGTACAACGTCTTATGCAAGATACAGATGGTGTATCCAATTTATCTACATTTTCTAAAAGTTAATTACAGGAAAACTATAGTTCAGATTGAAACCTTTTAAAGAATGCTTGAAAGAGTTCTCAAAGTTTGGTGCCTGGAGAACAGGAGAAATTGTAAGAATTGCATTTTTCAAAAGCAGCATGATAATCGTTGTTCCAAGCAAATTTCACATGTTTCCAAAGTTGTGAGAGGGGCCCCCACAAGTGACAAAATATACAGTAGTAACCAGCCATTCCTAGAAATCTTACAAGTTCCTTCATGTTTTGGGGAACTATACTCTCCCCAAAATGTCTGTCACATAATAATTGAAAATCATTACTTATATACTCACCAACATTGAAAATGCACCAGTCTCAAATTGTTCATATTTTCTTCAAGATGGATGTCAGCATGACACTGATCAATGAATATGACTAACATGAAGTCGAAATGCATGTCTAGTTGAAAACATGCTTCAGAAACAAATTCCTGTTCACAGTATGACTCTTAATTCCAAACCGAATCAACATGCAGCCACGTGATGAAAAAAGCGTGGATTTCATTTTGAAATCATGCCGACTGTGACATTAAATGCAGGTGTATGAGAAGCGATTCTCATTGCTTCACTAAAGATTGTGAAACGAGGACAGAGATGCCGAGGTTAACACCTCACGAAAAGAATGTGCACTAGGCATGATTCAGGTTGGCACCAGCTGCAGGGATATTGCTCGACAACTAGGGAATTGGCCACTCCACCACCATTAGGCTTCATAGACGACCTCAGCAGACAGGCAGCACCCGTGACCTTCCACGACCTTGGCAACAACGTGTCATGACGCCCCGTCAGGATAGCCATATTGACCATAACCATATCCGTGATCGAATACTGGCAACTGCTGGGACTGCTGCACTAGTTCAAGGACGACGTGGGGGTCATCAGATTTAAGAAGATTGTTGAAAAGTCCCTCCAAATGATAGTTGAGATATATTTCGCATGATATGTTTCATCTTGTGATGAATAATTGTAGCAACACCAAATATATTATGTCATGTAAATGTCAAATATCAGTTTAGGCTTATTTCATTTCTTTACCCCTTCAACTTTTCGTATCAACCTTGTGCCTGTTAAAACATTAACTGGCCTTTGTTCGAGATCACCAGGTCTTGGAGGTAATCACCCTATGTTTTTACAATTCTGCTTCATGGGAACTAACCGTAGAAAATACATTCTCCAATTAACACCTGTCACAAGGGAGAGGCCATTTGAGTTTGTGCTCAATAACGGTGTTATGCAATTGGCGTAGTCACGAAAATCTCATGAACTTGTCAATAGAAAATTGGTTGTGTTGTTCAAACATGTGCGGATTGAAGCAAATACTCAAATGAATTCCCTTTTTACTGAATCATAAGTGTAACTAGATTAACTTGATCATTTACAAGAAGTACGTTACAGAATGTTTTAATAAAACATTCATTATAGATCAAGAGAAATCAGCCCACAAGCTCACAGTTGATTCCAGAGACAAATATACATTTGAAAGATTCCAGTTTAGACAAGACATTAATTTCATAATAAGCCAGCCAATAGACTTTATGTTAATATCCCAGTTACAGTTATTTTGAAGGGTCAAGTCTAGATGCTTGTGATTATCTATGTCTTGAATTATCACACCTCTCATTGTAAGGTCAGGTTGGATGCTACTGTTAAGTTTTCTACTAAACTGTAAAATGGTTACCGGTATATGTTCATTCTGAACAAGAGGAAAAGGAGAGAATGGATCTCATGGAGATGCAGTCAGAAAGACTGCAGAGCAACAGTCTCAACATTGAACGACATAATGTCTAAAATTCATGGAGACCACAACCACGGACCAGTACACAACGAAGTCAAGGAAAATCAAATCTCAAATAGATTGTAACAGAAATAACGAATATTTTTTAAAAAAAGGTAAGAAGTATTCCTAACGTTATGTTAAGGGTCACATGCAATGTAAAACACAACTTTGCAGATTCTGATACCTTTCGGTATGGACTTACCGAAACAAATCATCAAAAATGCAAATTCAACTTATGAAGTTGAAAAATAACGCGATGAAAAAACCCGCGCGAAATCGGAGTTCAAACGATTCACTAATTTTCCCCCAGCTCTTGGGAGAAAAGTGGTTTCAACAGCTGGCCTGCGCTCATAGCACATGCGCAGTGAAACAGGTTCGCGCAGCGGGTTGGGCTAATGTAACCCAGCTAACACATAACATTTTCCAAACATGTTCATCAGGTTTCAAACTGGTTTATCAAAAATATTTTCGTCAAAATACAGTCACAATGTTATAACAATGTCTCTCAACAATTTAAAAGCATTCATTATTCAAATGTTTTTTAAAACTTATTCATGAAGAAAGTAAAGTTACAGCAGGAAAGGACGTCAGAATGACGTCATACGTTCACGTCACGTCACGTCACGGTACAACACTGTCATTGTGCAGCAACAAATGGAACTGAATCATCAATCTGACCTCGGTTGCAGTAAAAACAAAATGTTGATTGAAAACTGCTCGCAACGAAATCGTAACTGTTCCTCGAGTAAGTCGTGAATCATGAAGCTAGTTACAATAGCTATTCATTATATCAATTCCTGTTTGGATTCAAGGTTATTCCTGTTCTTTTCACCCTCTACACTAATGATTGTGCAAGCTCGAATTCAACCTGTGAACGACACTGATTCTGAAGAACTGTATAAAGACGACATTAATCATTTTATGACTTGGTATGCAGAAAACCACTTACTCTTAAATGTAACTAAAACAAAGGAACTGATAATTGACTTTCGGAGTCAACCCACAGAAATGCTTCCAGTGATAATCAACGGTAAATGTGTTGAGACAGTGTCGGAGTATAAGTATCTGGGAACCTTCATTGACTCTAAGCTGAACTGGAACTCTAACACTGAAGCCTTATACAAAAAGTGTCAACAACGTCTTCATCTCATGCGTAAACTGAGATCTTTTAATGTAAACCCATCTGTGTCATTTTTTATGTAGCATTTATTAAGAGTATTTTAACATTTTCCTTCCATTGTTGGTACGGGTCTCTCTCAGTTCATCTCAAATCTAAAATAGACAAAATTTTTAACACTGCAAGTTTAATCGCTGGAGTCAGATTTGAATGTTTATCATCAATATATGAGCGGCAAATCGTGAATCAAGCGGTCAATATCATATCTGACCATACTCACTACTTACATTCGGAATACAACCTCCTCCCTTCAGGCCGCCGCTACAAAGTTCCAATTGTGAAAACTAAGAGAGCCCGTACATCCTTTATTCCAAGTACCATATCTCTCTTAAACAAATGTGAAGATACCTAAATCAAAGAATTTATGTAAATATGTTTGGTATCTCTCTAATGTGTCAGTAGCTCTGCTGATGTAACACAAATTCAAAGGAATTAAAGTATTATTCTATTCTAGTCTATTCTAATCTAAACACTCATCAGTATACCATGTTTGTTGTGAAGGGGCAGAGTTATATCCAAGTTTAATATACACGTTGGTGTTAAATCTACACATGTTGACCCCACAAAAACTTTAGGCAATTACACAATATATTTCAGCTTCGGACTAACTAGATTTATATACTTCTTGTAATGTGGAAAATTGTTATTAACATCCGATGAGCAAAACTTAATCAGACCGATGACATCTGCCACGTCGGGCCGATAAAGCACACAACGTCGGGCCGATGTCGGGCTTATGATGGCATGATACCTGGGATATCAATGCCATGTCATCTTGCATCTCGTTTGCAATGGAGTCATGGCCAATGGAGAGCGGTTGTTTACAATGACAAGACACAATTTATGCTGAACATTTGTGCGATGTCTTGGATGAACATATCAGCAGTAGGAATCCTCCTCTGCATATGCTGCAGGGAATCCTCCAGGCGTTGCAGGACAAGTGGTAGAACATCCCATTATGTACTATCCAGAACTCCAGAACCTTGTGGTCTCTATGTGCCAACGGTGGTCATAATCAATATCGACAAACTTTTACCCTAATCGTATTTGGCAAAATGATGGTCGTCATTGGAGTTTAACATCATGTGACTGTACACGCAATGAAGATCGAACCAATTGCTTCTTTTTGCCAAGTTTGGGTTGTAATCTGCTTGTCAATAAATTACAAGAAATTAGGTGTAACAGAACTATTTGTGTAGCACATTCTCACATGCTAAATATTCACAGTATTATTAACAAAAAACATTGACATATAACACGCATAAATGTCTCCATGTGTCACTCTGTCCCTCTCTCTTAAAAACAGTCCTTATTGGTTACACGTGACCTACCTTTATCTTGGCTGGAATGTTGACTAATCCCACTGTCAGAGTTCATCTGGCTTCGTTCTTTGGGTTTCCTTGCCTGAATTGCATGATTGAGCGGCATACAACTCAGATGCTGAAAGTATTATGTCAGTCAGTCAGTGAATATATATGGTTACATAGAAGATTGATTTCTCCACTAACTTGGGGGAACCAACTGTAAACCTTATGCAGATGAATTGCATGAAGATCATGCATATAATTGCTGAAAAACATGTGCAAATATCGTGCATGTGAACAGCTGCGTTTAGGTGTAAAGTTTTGTTACGAATTCGCCAATTTTCACTGATTTTTGTCATTTGCTGAGCTCATGACAATAATCTTTTCAACGTTACGAATTTGTTTTACAATACATCAGTTTATGTGTAAACAATACCTTTTAACAGTATGGAATATTTTGTAAAATTTAGTTTAGAACACTTGCCTGAAGTAAATGGCTATATTTACATTATTATTATTATAGGATATTTATATAGCGCACATATCCAGACAACTAGTGCATGCTCAAGGCGCTGGTATTTGTTCCCTCGATCATTGGATGTCAATCTCAACGTCACATCGTATTATCAATCTCAACTCCCTGGGGAGTATACAACTCTTGCAGCCACTAGGCGCACCGAAACACTAGTGAGTCTAAACTTTTGATGGGAAGTATAGTTTAATATTTGACAGCAAGAAAGACAGCATGACAGGAAGGCGAGTAGCATGATGATTTTGTTTGTTGTTTAATGCCGCACTCAGCAATATTCCAGCTATATGGCGCCGATCTACAGTTGAGTCTGGACCAGACAGACAATCCACTGATCATAATCAATCTACTCACGTGAGATGCGAAGACATGTGTCAACCAAGTCAGCGAGCCTCACCACCCGATCCCCTTATTCGCCTCTTGCGACAAGCATGGGTTGCGGAAGATCAATCTTAACCTGGATCTTCACAGGTGGGTAACATAATGACTTTCCCAAAGAAAGAATAACTTGCAAAAACAAATGAATTATATATGGTATACATTAATGCTCAGCTTTCTAAATACATAAACTTTAAATAGTTTATGTGCCTCAAAGAGATAATTCCCCAAGTTACAAAAGTATCTGATACATTTCTTGGCACACAACCATCTGCAACTGCCATTGTTGATTTCACGTTGAGCGGTGGGCCTCTTGATTTGCCATAAATTACATAAATTTAAGGTCCTCATAAATATTTTTGCACATATACTGAGTCTGTAGACGCTTTCCTAACCCTTCAGACTTTGACACATGATGTTTGAGTTTAATAAACACATTTTTTGAAAATATGCACTCTTATGCAGAAATTGAACTTATATACTTCAGAACAAATGACTAAATTGCCAAAATATGCAGATCATGAAAACATATTCACAATATTTGTAATTGTAAACATAACTGTCTAATTGTACACTGCACACATCTATACATCCACAAAAATGTGCAAGAGTGGCTACACTACAGGTGATAAACTTCCTGAATAGATTGAAACAGATTTAATCACCTTCCCACTCACTCCTCTCAAATTCAATATCCCTTTCCAAGACAAAATGAGGTAAAGGATTTTGACAGTTCAAAAATTCTTTGTTACATTATGCAGAGTAAAAGATCAAATCATATGGGAAATGATTCTTCAAGAAGCAAGAGGACTAACAATCGATTATACCTCTACTACAAAGGAAAAAGACACTTATACTATAAATAACCTGGAGAACAAATTGTATGAAAAGGAAGTACATCAACGCCCCCTGACATTTTTGGTTTCATTGACTGTTTGACTGTTGGCGATCGCACAGACTCTGATCACTCTCCACTAGACCTGACGTGTATCTTCCCGACAGAGGCAAGAGTCTTCACTAATGTCGTCATACTTGATGATGTTGTTTGTTCTGACACCATAGTCTGGGACAGCTCGAAACAGACCTTCAACATGTGTAAAGATAGACTGTACAATACCATAGAATTGAATATTAAGGGATGAATTGATTCATTTAGGCATAAAATGGTAGAAGCATCGGATTGTATGAAAGGACAATGCTGAGTAACAGAGTCAGGTATGACAAGCCACTCCTGAGTCGCGAGTGTAGATTGGCAAGAAGATAAGCCCAGAAAGCAAATTCAGACGTCAACGTACTGAGTGTAATAGGAAACAGTATTGTAACTTGCGTAATAACTACAAATCGGCAATGGTTGACTCATTTTCAAGTATTATTCTCTCCAGGCAAAGCACAAAGTCTCTATGAATTTTCTAATGGGGATGGCACAGCAGGTGATTATTTAGAGGGTGTGGACGACATTCTATTAGAATCCCCTATAACAGAAAACAAAATTCGTGATGTGATTGAATATTTGAAATGAGGAAAATCGGCAGGCGTGGATGGAATTCTCTCCAAGATGATTAAATGTTCGCTACCAGAATCATTGCCTATTCTTACCAAATGTTTTAATATAATATAACAGGTGTATTCCCGGAAGTTTGGTTGAAGTCTATCATTGTTCCTGTTTTCAAGAATGGAAACGTGAACAACCCCGATAACTACAGAGGCATCTCGTTTATCAGTATCGTGGGGAAACTGTTTACCAGTGTTGTTAATAACAGAGTTACACAGTGGGCAAATATGCGAGATTTATTACCAGAAGCTCAGCTGGATTCCAGAAAGGATACTCGACATCAGGCCACATCTTTACCTTGATTGCAGTTGTCATAAAATATATTTGATTTAACAAACGTAAGATATATATTGCTTTTGTGCACGTGGACTTCCGGAAAGCTGTTCTGTGAACAGACAATGGTCTTGCCTATAGAATAATAATCTACATCAGAAGATGTATGCAATTCTCAGATCTATGTACCAGAACGTGAAATCTTGTGTTCGTAGCGACAAAGGCATAACTGATTTCTTCGACTGTCCACTTGGGTTACGCCAAGGATGTGTATTGAGCCCCCTGTTGTTCTCTCTGTTCGTTAATGATGTGTACAACAAGTTTGTCACTTCCTTTTGCAGATGACGTAATCAGATGAATGGAAGCTTACTGTTAATCTGGACAAGACAAACATTGTCATATTAAGGAAAGGTGATCGAGTCGCAGTAGGTGGTGAGGTGAGGTGAGGTGAAATTTGGTTTAACGTCGTGCTTGAGAATATTTCTCTCATATGACTACGTGCATGCTTGTGTATGTGTATGTGCGGCTGCTTGTACTAGCCCAGACTTGAGCTGGTTTTATAGTGCTAGCCCACTGAGATACCATGCCGCAGTGAAGCATGAATACCCCACTCAGACACATTATACTGACTCCGAGCCGACCAGTCCTTGTACCCATTAATGCCGAGCGCCAGGCGGGGGACCAACTAGTACCGTATTTTAACGGCCTTTGGTATGACGCGGTCGGGGATCGAACCCGCGACCTTCCGCTCTCCGTGCGGATGCTCTAACCACTACACCACGGAGGCGGTGATGTCCAGTCGCAGTACAAGAGAGATGGACATGTAAAGGTGACACAGTGAACGTTGTAAAAGAGTACAAGTATCTAGGCGCGTTGTTTACACAAACCGCATGAATAAAATTTACAACAAGCAGCCAGAGCGAAGATGGCATTCTGTCAACTACAATCAATCCTATATAACGTTGATGTTATAACACCACAAGTATTCTTAAAACTATTTTACTCTATGACTCCGAAATATGGGGATGTCAACGCTTTCATTCCATAGAAAAGGTGCACCTGTTTGCATGCAAGAAATTCTTAAAAGTTGGAATTTCAACTCTTAACAGCATGGTGTAAGGACGCTACCCACTGTACATAAAGTCTTTCACTAGATGCTTACGCTACTGGCTTAAACTCATTCACATGCCAGCTCATCGCCTACTGAAGAAAGTGTATAACATGATTGACCACCTAAACGAAATCGGCAAAAATACTTTGGAATTCTTCAATAAAAAACTTATTATGGATTTGGCTTTATGTGGACTTCTCAAACAGTGGGCGTTTGAAACTCCTTCTTGAAGATGGTTGGTACTCATGCTATAGACATGTTTAAACAGGATTGGCATTCAGGTCTTGAGGAAAGCTCAAGATCAGACACATATCACACCATTAAATCCAACTATGAAACTGAGACGTATCTTCACAACATCAAATCTAAATCTATTGGAAACTATCTCATTCCATTTTGACTAGATCTCAGTGAACTGGAGGTCAATGGAGGAAGACACTATAACATCCCAAAAACCCAAAACACACGCTGTAAAATATGTAGCAACGGAGTCGAAGACGAATACCATTTTATGTACTCTGCCCAATCTACGATGAACTCAGAATTAAATATTCACCTACATCTAATTTCATATCCACACATAATTTTAAGAAGCTATTATTTTGCAAAGATCCTTCTACCTAATTTCACATTGCCTTATATACTTAGTTCCAAAAGAAACACGACATTCATGTTTGTTTTTGAAATTTCCATAATTGTCTTATCATCTACAATCATAACGAATGTGCGTGTTAAATGTTCTTTTAAAACAATTTTCGAAATTAAACTTCTAAAACAAGACTTTTAATGTCAGATTAACCGTAACAACCGAATCTAATTATTGAACATTTTTATGGGATAAAACAACAGAAACGCATCACATAAATGCATGACCTGAGGCGTTGTGAATTTAATGATACGACACTTTCTTCAAGAAAAACAAGAGAAAGTACCCTTGAAAAGATGCAACGGCAGTTTCTATTGTGTTCTTTTTCTATATGGTTCAGAGAACAATATGCCACGTCTGACTGATTGAACGCCAAAATCAAACGGATTCGGTGAGAGATCAACCTAGAGATGGCAGGCCACGAGTGACGTCACACAGGCAAGACCGTTACATCGTTATGTCACATCTTAGCAACCGTTTTCTTCCAGCTACTGTTACAGCCCGTCAGACAATTGTAATTCATAACAGAACAATTTCAGGAAACACTGTGGGTCGACGTTTGAGAGCACACCGGCTACACTGTAGGAGACCCTATGTTGGACCGGCACCATCGTCTGCGCCAACATCAGCATTGGAGATATGCACAG